CCCACACCACCCCCCCTCCACACGATGTTTTCAGAGCCGGTTTTTAATCACCAAACAGAACTGTGAAGCACGGATCCCTCAGAGAAGCCTAATGCTTTTTGCATGTTTACACAAAGAATCTTAAGTGTCTTCAGCGTCAAGCAGCAGCAGCAGCAGCAGCCGCCTCCATTCTGATGTGAAATGCTTCTTTTCTGCTTGTTGCGTCCGTTAGTCTCTGTGTCTGTTTGTCCTCTTGAGTAGAATATTTACAGTGAATCCACAAGAACTGAGTCACACGCATACTGAAAAGGCTTCAGATATATCTGCTCTTTCTCCAACCTCTGATGCTAAATCATGAGGGCTAGAAGGAGCGAGAATGTCAGCGTGGTTGTCTTTGCACTAACTCCTTTTTGCAATGCACCTCTAGAGGGACGGTGACCTTACAAATCACAGGAATGCTCCTTTTTGTTTGTACAAATAAGCAACGTTTGAAGCCAAAAACAAAAAAGGAAAAAAAAGAAACTCTGAAGGGAAAACATTCTCACACACAACTAATTCATGTGTTTGAAATATGAAATCCTACTTTAAAAAAAGGAAAAATAAATCTATATTTATATGTGTATGTTGTTATTATTGTTTTTTGCTGACCTCTAGTGGACAGTTATCAAAATTGCAAGTCAATTGGGTTTTTGTATGTTTAAGCTTTGACACACAGACAAACAAACAACATATACAGGTGATCATATTGATTTTTTAAAATTCATTATCCATATATAAAGTCACACAGTTTGACACATGAAGATTATATTCATCAAGCTAAACTACAGGATTCATTCCTACACAGATCAACAACTTATCAAAAGACCTATTAATGATAGCATGTTTAACATGTAGATGTGCTGCTGTTTACTAAAGCACAACAATGAAATCTTCATTAAGAACTGAACCCCGGCAGCAGCTCAGTGGGTTTTATTTGGGAATGTGGACCATTATGGGCATCATGCTGAGCAGCAGTAAACAAAGCACAACTGAGGCAGGTCGTCACCAGAAACTTCACAGGTTGAAATTTTGAAAAACTATCTCAAATCCATGCGCATGAAACGCCGACTGAGCCTCTGAAATGACGCCTTCAAACCTCAGACTCAAATCTAATGCATGATGGAATATCGTTGGCTTGTTTGGTTTGGACCAAAGAACACGTGAGAGTCGTGTTGGAAATGTCTGAAAGTGCATCTTTAAATCAACAGGGTCTCTCCAAGCATGATGTGGATCCACGTGAAGCTTATGAAAACCCCGTCCAGAGCTCCTGGCTGTTGGGGGAAACAACCAGCGTGGACAGGTACCGTCAGCAGTGTTCTGTGGAGCACGGCTCCAGACCCGGAGGCGGTCGGAGGAGGCGTCACAGTGCCACGGCAACGGCGAACACACTGACCACGCAGTACATGGTGCGGTTCTCCCACCTGACGGTGCAGCTTCCTGAAACACACAGGCAGTCCACAGAACCAGTCAGTCAGTTTATTTCAGGCAATATGTTCTGTACTGTTTTCTGATCTTAGCTGAGGTCCACGTCAACCAAATGAAAAACTATTAAATAACCAGTAAAGACTAATTTAAAGTGAATCAATCTGCTCCATTTACATCTTTAAAAAGCCCAATTACCTCTGAGTACACACTACAAGCTCCAGTGTGACAAATTAAATGATCTTATTACATGTCAAACTTGACTCACGATGCAGATTTTCTCATTACAAGAGAAAAACTAACAAAACACAAACAAGTTCTGGACATTTTTAAAGATTTCCCCTGTTTCTCACCATCAGTTGCCGTGTCCCAGTAACAGGAGTTGGCCGTGTGGAGGCCGGCACCGCTCTTCTGCATGACGGAACAGTTCACTGCAACACACCAGGGAGGACAGTAAACTGCAGCCGCATCTCCGCTTATTGTACACGAGTGGGTGACTTAGTAAAAAAATTCTATAAACTATACAAAGGGGATGGGTCACCTATATATTTGAATGGCCGTCCTTGTTTCACCAGGTGGCTCAGCGAGTGCTCCACTATGCTGGCCGTCCACTGATTCACTTTGCCCTGATTGTAATCTGTTCCACCGATGACACCTTCAATGCACTGGGACAGAGCAAAACACAGGAAGTTATGCACACAGATTATAGACACGTGCAGTCTATTATTAATGTTTAATCCATTAGAATGCACCTCTTTCACCAACGCACTGGTATCATCTGTGTTGATGACCTGTATGAACAGAAGAAAGATAAAAATTAGCCTGGTGAGTGTAATACAGGGAGCAAAGAAGTAAAAAGACTAAAGTACGCCTTTAGTCTTTTTTTTGCATGCTGTCATTACATTTTAGTCCGTTGTACCAACTGGCATGCCAGCTTGACGTTCCTGTACATTAACCCTAATGTTTTTACTAATTTCCTCTTTTAGTTTATTTAAGCATCCCACATTTAGTCTGAATAATTATATTATATCGCCATAGGAAACATAAATATTTATTTATCATAATAGGTAATCATTTGTTTGTTCCTATTCAAACAAAGTGGGACATTTCAATAGGTACGTTTAATGACTGTAGTTTCTGAATCCTGGGTGGGTTGTGTGTGGCATGTGATAAAGCTGTTTTTTTAATACCAGTTATGTTAAAATTGTCATTTATTTTGTAAAAACAGAAGTCGATTGGGACCACACCCTGATGGAAATGCTCAGCTATGCTAACAGATAACGACCAATGAACGAGCTAAGCTAAGACTAGCAGTCATCTAACGGGCTAAGCTAACAGCTAGCCCTAAAGTTCTAACTGAGGACATTCCTGCCAAATGATAGATAACTCAAATAGATTTACATCATCTCCATGGTTATACTCTTCCATTTTATCTGCCACTGTGGAAAAAATGACAGTCTTCTTTGTGATAACCGGTGTATGTCTGCTGTTATTGTTCCTGTTCAGCCTCTTTCCTTCGGTCAACAAGCACAGAAAAGACGCTTTTCCCTTCGGAGTGGGAGGCTGTTTTTGCTGTAGCGCCCCTTGTGGTGGACTTCGGGTACTACAAAGGAGGGCATTTCTGCAACAGAGTCCGTCACAAAATTGGTCATGGGGAGACAGGGACGGTTTTGATTAAACCCAGGAGACAGAAGATTTGGGAAGACCGGTCAGTTTGACTTTTAGTATGAATCAGAAATAGTTTTTCTTTTAATCCTCTTTATGTTTACTGTGTGTAAGCCTGTGGATGTTCTAGTTCTGTTCAGAGACAAGTCAATTAACTTAGCTGGAATTTTTTCATGCCACTTCTGGTAAATTTACTTTGGATTTATGTTGTTGTTTATCTAGCTCAAGTCTCTCCTCAAATATCTGATTCACCTACATTTAAAGGTTAATCTGAACTGAATCCACTCAAGTGTGTCATCCCATTCTTTTTAGGAGGACAGCTTTTTACACTTTTTGACTTTTTTTACACTTTTAAACATTTTCTCTTGTTGCAAAATTTATTTTACACGCTATGTTTATTCAGCTTGTTCATTTCCAAGAAAACCAACAAAGTTATGTATATACTGTATATTTCACTCTTTTTTCACGAAATGTTTGCCCTTTCTTTCATTTCTGTGATTTCTGCTTTTTTATTTTTTTCTCAAACTTTGTTGGCAGCAAAGGAACTGCTTCGAAAATGGAAACTTAAAAAAATAAAAATAAGATAATTATGCAGAGAGGTTTATCTAAGTGTTTACACTGATGATATTTTTGTAAAATTCTAAAGCATGCAATAAAGATATTACTATCATTATTATTATTTGACTTTCCACAAGTCATTAGCATACTGGAAGGTTCTTAAAATTCATCATCAGTTTGTTCAAAATGATCAAAAGTAGAAATAAATCATAAGTAAAACATAAGAAAATGATTTTCATCTTTGCTCCCTCCTCTTTTTAACCACATCGAAATAACAAAGATGATGCAAAAAAGGAATCACTAAACCACTTTGAATAAACAGGTCGAGGTGCTTCTGTTTTGGACCACGTCGGTCTCTCTCGGCCCTGTAGGTCTACCCAGATGGAGCTCTGTTTCATCCATTCCAGCTCCGGCTGAGCAGGCAAGGCGCAGACTCCCAGAGGATGTCAGCGGGGAAATCCATAATACATCATGTAGGCTGCTGCTGGGGACAATGGGGAGTTTCCCGGAGCCTCGGCACCGCAGCGGCTGGTGTGGGCTCAATCCAGCTCTGGCTGGGTCGGGGTGGATGTAGGAGACCAGAAATAAATACATGAGAAGACAACAACATCAAATCAACTGTCGCATTGTGAGAAAATGTCCACATCTGTAAGGGTCTGCGTGCGTGCCTCACACACTGGCGTGCGTATCTCTCTCTCTCTCTC